GTTATATAAGGACAAACATTGCGAAGTTTAAGGATCAACTATATTACTACCTACCTTATAAGTATTACAGACACCACGAGCTTCGTCCTGGTAGGCAGGGTACCATTGATAATGACCAACTAAAGATTATGATTGAAGCTGATCGACACATAACGATTCGTGACTTTGCAAAAAAAACTTAATTCATCCAAATCAACAAATGTATTGTTTATATAAAAAGAAGTTATTTTATTCCATAGCGAAAAACAAAAGCAAAAAATTGTTGGACTGCCTGATATAATCCATCCAAATGTTGTGTGAGGTATTCAACTCAGTTTTAGCTTTCTTCTCATTAACTTTGATGATCTCTTATCGAATATTTTATAAAAGCAAATAATAAATGCTTATCCACGGATTCTATCTCCTAGTCGAATGTGATTTCCTTTCTTGTTTTGGGTAATCTGCATAATATTGAACTCGATGTATTTATGTCTCGCAAACAAAGTAGGCGTATATGCCCTTTCATCTCTTCGTACCCACTCACTTTTCATCATTCTGCGTTGCTTTTATTATTGTTCTATATTGCGTTAACATCATATGGGGGCAATTGATTGATAGGAGCTTGGCAGAACTAAAATTAATCGGAATACCTTACACTCAATCAAAGTATTTAGCAGGTCTTTTGTTGTAGTTAAATAAGTTTGGAGAAAACAGTCTCTTTGCATGTTTGTGTGTCCTCTTCGCATTAAAAGAAAAGACCGAAAGACCAAAAAAAAAAAACGCTCTTTTTGTTTTTAAATAATTTGTCTTTATTCACAATTTGTTTTTACCATTTTGTTGTTGTTGTTTTTTTCATAATTATAATTTGATGTTGGTTTTTGTTTGTTAACAAAACTGTTTTTGTCGTTTGTTTTCATAGGTTTTTATTTTTTTTTTTTGTTTTTTATTCAATAATTTACGTCACATTATCAACGTCATTATCATTATCATCATCAGCATCATTGTCATAATAATTATTAAAAATCTATTACCAGACCTGCACACATGCATGTTTCTTGTATTGAAATTTGTTGTTGCCGTTACTGTTGTTCGTATATATGTGTATATGTGTATATATAAATTGTTATCGTTAAAACCTTTCTTACTGTGTGTAAAAGGTTCTGGTTTGGTTGTTGTTCTTGTTGTTGTTGTATTTGGTTGATCGATCTGTTGATTCTCTTTATAAAATAATTGTCGCACAATTTAATTTAATTGAGTTTAATACTTTCGCTTTTTCCCTTTTCTTTTATTGCTAAAATTTTATTCTATTAGGACATACATACATGCATACATGTATATATATATATATGTATATACATGTATATATATATACATGCGTACATATGTATCTGTACTTCTTGGGGGGAATTTGTTGTGGTTTGTTGTAGGCTTCATGTTCATTAAAATTTTTCTTGTTTAAAGATTCTCATTTTTGTTTTTCTCCGATCAAAGCGATTACTATCATGAGAGAGATAACAAACAAGCAATGGAACGAACAGATGGAGTCATCATCATCATTGAGAAGAGAGCAATCGCTTGATTATCAAGTCATTTATCCTTTCGCTGAGCACGCTATACACACGCGCAACAAATGGTCAGTTTGTTCCATTTGAAAAATTACAAAATTTTTTATAAATTAAAATACTTAATGTTAGATGAGTTCCTCTCTCTCTTTCTCTATCTCTACAGTTTTAGTGTGCGTATGTGTGTGTGTGTGTGTGTGTGTGTGTGTTGCGTGTGGGCTTTGCGCATGCGCGGGCACCTGTGTCTATGTAAGTATATGTATCTAGATGTATATATATACATATATATACATATATATACATATACATATATATACATATATATACATATATATACATATACATACATATACATATATATACATATATATACATATACATATATATATATGTGTGTATGTGTATCTACACGTATGCAAACTGTTTGGTTATACTTTACAGTACACCACTACAAATGGTGTTGCTTTCTTCCTATTCTTCTGTTTCTTCTGTTCTTCCATTATTATTAATTTTGAAATTTTGCTTTTAATTTACTTCTTAAGGTTGATTTTCTTCATCTTTAGACAAAATATGATCTTTTGGTTTTTATTTATTTCATTGCATTTCATTATCATTATTGTTATTATTATTTTCTTTATTATTATTAACATTATTATTATTATTAACATTATTATTATTATTCTTATTATTATTTTATAATCCTTTCTCTTCGATAAAAATTGTCATTGATTTTATTATTTCAGGGGTTTTGGTTTTGTTTTTTTCTTAATTTACATTTTTTCTCTTAATTTAAGTAAAGATTTCATTTTTAAATAACGGACAAATTACACACATTTGCACATAAAACTGTTCTCTTTCAATGAAATTTAAATTTGATATAATTTTTTTAAACTATTATAAGAAAATATTTTGCATTTTTTCTTTTTGTTGTCTTTATTTTCAATCAAAGTTGAAAAGTTTAAAATCTACTTTTCTTACTTTTTGTATTTTTTTCTGCTTGTTTTTTAAAATTTGCTGTCATATCTTAGGTTTTGTGAATGTTTTTATGTCTGTGTGTTTATCTGTTTGTTTGTGATGATTTTTACAGTGTTTGCTTTGTGTTTTATATTATATTGTGTGGTATTTTACATCAAACAATATACAGACGTTTTCTTCGTTTTGTTTTCTTTTTTCTTTAAATATTTTACAACATTTATTTTCATTTTGTTTTTTTATTACTTCCTTTTCATTTCGTTATGTTTCATATTTTGATTTTAATGAATATATAAATATATATATATAAATATATATATATAAATATATATATATATATATATAAATATATATATATAGATAAATACATAGATATATATATAAATATGTATATAAATATATATATATATTTTTCTTTTTTAATAGAGAAATAATACACACAAAGTGTTCTTTTCATTTATAAAACTTTCAAGCACATTAAGATAAAATTTCTATCAACATAAACATATACACGTGTAAACATATATATTGAAAAAATGTACAATTCTTCGGAATTCATCCGAAATATGAACCCATCGATATCTATAATAAATGAAAACGTTTGTTCAATCAAAAGACTTATCAATAAATCGTTATTCCACTTTCCTCGGTCTCAACAGTAAAAAACGAAAGTGTAAATAATAATAAGAAGAACAAACTAAAATATACTTGTATGAATAAAAAGAGCAGCATACGAGATGATTCGAAAAACATAGCTAACGTATAAGGATCCCAAAGAAGTTCTGTATCCGATTCATTTATGCACTTAAACTGGTCTTCTTAGTGTTTCAAATAGCTCTGCTATCTTCGCGACTTGAACACATTTTGCGACTTCGGTTACCACTGTTTGTAAGAATGTGAAATTGAATTGAAATGTGAATCTTTTTCGTTTCCTCTTTACTCCATTTAAATGATTTTCGAAAATATACTTCTTGTGTTTTTAGAAAATTTTCATTTACTACGTTGTCAGTAACGCAATATTGCGTTAAGATGCCCAAATTTTTCGACTCTCTAGAACGATTTCAAACATTCATTGCAAAACTAAAAAAAATAAATCTTTTTTAAACGAAATCCGTAAATAAAAAACCAATAATTATTTTTTAATAAAGAAAATAATTTTTTTAACAAAAAATCTTCTTTTTATTAAAATAATGATGAAATGTTTTTTAGTGTTTGTGTTTTTTATATTTAAAAAAATCTGTTCCTTATAAAAACTAATCTTAAAAAATTATGAAACATTAAAAATTGTATATATATATATATATATATATATATATATATATATATATGTATACATGTATACACGTATATATCTATATACATACGTATATTTATAAATTAATAATAATTTATATTTAAAAACGAAAAAGAAAAAATAACTAAAGTAAATTTCAATTTTAAAAGAAAAGTAATAAGCAAAAAATTATGTTTTTTGTGTTTTGTTTGAAAAAATATTTTTATGTACAAAGCTTCTGAAGAAATGGAGAAATTTTTTGTGCCAAAATATTATTTTCATTATTATTATTAATATAATTATTTTTTTTAAATAATTTTTTTTAATATTATATGCCATACGTAAACATATGCATTTCAAAGAGATGAAACAACTTGAGAGAGAGATCGTAATTTTTTGCTTATTAATCGTATAAAAAATGATTGCATAAGAACTAAAAGGGAACATTTTTGCTGCTTCTTATTATTTAGTAACAATTATGATAAACAAGAGAGAATGTAATAAAAAGTAGTTTTTAATTAATTTTGGTTTTTTTTTGTTTCTCTCGTGGATTAAAAAAAGAAAAAACGGAAATTTTTATGTGTTTTTCTCTTTTGCGATTTATGGGAGTTTGCTTGATATCCTTATAGTTTATAATATTTTAGTAATATTTACACTCAAAAAACTAAACACTAATTTACTCTTGAATCGGTAGTAAAAATGGAAATAAAATAAAGGCTAAAGACATTAAAACGTAAAAGTAAATAAAGAATTCTCTCCAATATTGCCCGAAAATGTGTAAAGGGAACCGACAATACGATAAATAATATTTTGTAGTATTTAAGACGAAAATCATTTTTTCATGTTTCTTGTTTAATATTTTTAATTTTTGTTTATTTAAAAAATATTCTCTTCTAAGTGTTTCTTTTTGAAATAAAATTCAAAGCATTAGAAACAAAAAAAAAATTTTTTAAAAATCGGTTTTTAATTATTATTATTTAATTAAAAAAGGATGCTCGAGTTCTATTATAACTTTCCAGTTGATTTTTGCTTTAATTAGTTCCTTACTTTTTATCTTTCACTACCATAATCAAAATTCATAGCTTAAAATATAATAATAATTAAATTTTTTTTTTTTCGTTATTTTGATATAATTTATTTGTATTTTTGCTTTTTTTGTTGTATTTTAAAAGGACATCGAGTTCTTTACTTAAACTGCAACTGCATGCACACACACAATTATTTTGTACAATTTCTATATAACTTTTGTTTTGTCCTTCTCTGCTATGGTTTTATCTTCGATTTCATTCTTTTTCTTAATAATTTATATAATAATTTATAGTTAGTTTCTTTTTTTTGTTTTTTTTTTTGTTTTTTTTTTGACATATTCTTTAAATAATTACTTAAAGCAAACGAAAAAAAATTTATTCTTGGTATTACACGTTTGATGGTATTATTCTAAAAATACAATATTTTGTTGCATTCGCCCGCCTTGAATTAGAGTTCATGGTTAAAGACATAATTTACAACATTTTAAGGAAGCGAAAAAAGAAAGATTAAAGAAAAAAGAAAGAGTTTTTTAAATCTCTATACACAATACGCTTCGCACTCATCTTTTGCCAGATGATTCAGTCTCGAGAGCAAGTTATTGTTCAACGTACTTTTCACAGTAAGAGAAAAAATAAACAAAAATCTCAGAGCGAAACAAAAGGGAGCGAGAGAGTTAAGGAATCAAATTAGTTGCTGTTCCTCAACCGAAATATAATTAAGTAGTTTATTTAATCAATACTGTGTCTTTTAATTTCTGTATAATTATTTATATTTTTTTCTATTTTTTTTTACCCTCTACCCCTCTCAACTTCTTTTTGCTCCTTACGCCTCTAACATAACTTTATGTACCTGTACTTGTGGTGAAGTGCTCGCGGGGCCCGTGGTTGTGGCGACGGACGCTGAACTGGCCGTAGTAGCTGTCACTGTGACATCAGCCGAGACTGCTGGAGGATACCTTTGGGCTGCTGTTGCTGCTGCTACTAATGCTTGCAATTTACTGGGTGGTGGTGTTGGTGACTTCTTAGACAAATTCAATGGTTGTTGGCTGTCGGCTATTTCCACCTGTAATTCCAAGAGACGAGGTGGTGTATTCATGGCTGATGGAGAAGGTCGCGGTGGTGAGACTGAAGCAGAAGTTGAGTGTGGCGACTGAAAATACTGGCAACCTGACGCATTTGATGCAGAGGATGAGTTTGAGGTGGAGGACGACGAAGAAGAGCCGTTGCTGCTCGGTGATACCGACTGTTGGCGTTGATTAATGCTAGTCGTTGTTATAACGGAATGTCCGGGCCAACGATTTGCAGCTCCTGACGGCGGCGGTGAAGCCATCGATGTTACTGTGGTAGTAGAAGGTGAAGCGCAGTTGGAGTTTGGCGAATTGCTTGAAGCTGGTGAGGAGCTACCTGCCGCATACGCATGATGTCCTCCTGCGACTGCTGAATGCTGAGGAGCCGGACTACGATTGCCGGTAGCGTGTGGGGAACACACTAACAGATTGCTATTGTTAGCCGCTGCTGCATCGCGCATTATGTAGTTTTGTATTATATCGGATCTTTTTATTTGTTCGGGTGTCATTCTCGGCTCCGCCATTAAAGATTTGGCTAATACCGAATGAGTGCTGGACAATGAAGAAGGTTGCTGCTGCTGCTGCTGGATCGGTTGTTGAGTGGTATTGCCATTTGTATTACCGCTGGAATTGGTGGGTATGGGCCGAGTTAAATGCATATGCAATTGGCTTTGGTGGTGAGTAATAGCTGGTGGGGATGAAACGGTTGGCGCTACCACCGGTGAGGCCGCCGCCTGTGGTACTACCATAACTTGATTCTGTACGGTCACGCCCAATGTTGCAGCAGGTGGTGGCGGGCTCTGTGCATTATTTGCTGCAGCAATGCTCTGCTGTACCGGACTGTTAGCGGCGGTGGGTATGCATGAAGTAGTGTTAACATTTGCGGAAGTTGAACTGCTGGCATCTGCTTCGGCTGTTTCGTATTCGCGATGGCGCAAGGCTCTAAATTTCTTATGTGGCTTATAAGCTTCATCCATTAATGAGTTTGTATCATACAAAGGTGGTGCTTGCAGTACTCTCTTCAAGACTGGCATATCTTCAACAATTTGTCTTTTTAGAGTACTACTAGAACTCGTGCTAGTAGTACTGCCACTGCTGCTACTTGAGTTACTAGTTGAGCTGGGAGCCGCTGTTGTTGGCTGTGGAGAACGCACTGGCGATACTGACACTGTGACTTGACTGTTATTGGCTGCGGAGCCGTCTGTACAATCTAAAGCATCATCGACACTAGATCGAGGACTTGAACATGATGAGGAGCCTCCAGAACTAACAACTTTATTGCCGCATTCGTTCTTTTCATTACCGGATTCAATGCCAGAGTCGGTGGGTGAATCCAGCTTACGATAACGATGCTGTGCGGGAGCAACGCTTAAATGATGATGTAATTGTTGATGGGAATGAGCTCGTACAATAGGAGTGATAGTCAAACCATTTTGGGCTAGATGAGCATGTGATCCCACCAAATCTAAATCAGCGTTAGAATCTCCAGATGAGCCTGAATTAGCGCGAGTGCGTAAAGGGCAAGTGCCCGAAAGTGTAGCAGCTAGTAGAGGTGCCGAAGAAGCTAAAGACGAAGGTTGGCGATGTATGTGATGAGTGGTTGCCGGAGTAGTGGATGATGTTTGATATTCTAAGTCACCCGATTCCGTACTTGAAACAGAGCCTAATGGGCTCTTGGCTTCCACATCCATGCGATTGTCTTCCCATCCAGAGGGACTTTTTGAAGCTGACAATTGCTCCTCATCCATCGTCCACATTTGCTGACGCAAAAGCTCTTTATGTTCGGTGCGAAATACAACCAACTTTTCGGTATGCAAAGTGCTTAAAGTTCGCAAATCTGGCATAGTTTCCAATAGTTTGCTCATAAACTCTGGTTGATCAGGACGATTTTGATTGATAATTGTCTGTAGGCAGCCTTTCAATCGGCTGTACATCTTTTCAATAAGTTCAATGTTACGCAAGCCCGGACGATCGGGGGTTATTAAAACAATAGCACAGAACAATCCAATCTCTGCGTCAGACAAGTTCATTGAATTCATGCGTTCGGCAAAATTGAAAGTTGAATCTACCAAAAAACGAGCATTTGCACCGTTTTGTATAGCATCGCGGCGCATAACCTGGCCATTTAGACAAATGATGCTATTAATGGACGAGTCAAACATGCAGATCAATCGCACGAATAAAGCATCGAAAAGACCCGCCTTGAGCAGGGTAAATTTATCATCTTGACTAAGCAATTGAAAGCCGGGTATCATACCAGCAAAATCGATAACGCCACGTATTACATGGGCGAATCGTTGAGAAAATTCTTGTTCGGACTGCAATTCGGGGGCGGGGTTTAAAGGACAAGCCTGAAATCAAGTAATACAAAAGATATATTGAAAGAAAAATACTGATAGGCAAACAATATTATTTCGCTAAAACGATGAGCAAATAATAAACGTCCAAAACTAATGAATACCTTGGTTATCGTTATATATATGAGGAAATTAATACCGAAAACCGACTAATCGTTGTAGGGTAACTCCACAAATAATGAATTATAGAAGTTCCTCTAAAGGTCAACAGAAACAACAAAGTGTATATTCCTATATTATACTAAAGAAGCTTACAGGTTGGCGGGTAATGTAAGCGAATAAAAGCTAACGAAAAATGAATAATAATAATAATTGTACAACCACACGTTTTGAAAACATGTGTCGTATTTTGTTGTTTGTAATTACAAGCGATAGAGCGCGAACATGTCTAACGAATAGTTCAAGGTTTTGAGAAAAATAGAATTTGTATAAAAAAATCACAGCAAACAATTTTCCGGGTTTCATTGTATTATCATTATATGCTTACGTTGTCCACGTAGTATGTGTAGAAAATCGTTTAATTGTATTAAATATCTAGCAAAGACTCGGCTAGCCATCTACATACATATACATAAGTGTAAGAAACTATGTATTGAAAAATGTATTTAACATAAATAAACACAACGCAACACAACGCAATTGAACGGAATAGAACACAATTCAATTCAGAAACAACAATTATTAACCTTGAAAAAAAAATTATTTTATATATACGTACTACGAAATTCATGCACACACAAACTCGTGCATACCCACGAATCTATATATTCTCTAGCCATATACTATATGCACTACCAATTGTAGAGAAAAACACACGCTTTAGCTATTCGTTTAATAGTAAAATATTACGTATTATCGCAATGACTAGACACTACTATGTATGTGTTGCTAACGGGAATTTTCTCTTAGATCTCTCAATCTCTCTTTATAAAATTTTATTCGTTCACTATACGAATATATATAAGTAGAAGGGGTGTGTTTCTATCGGTATTTGACTTAGTGCTTAGTGTAAGCAATAGTGTGTTTTTTTGCTTTCTTGGTGAAAAGAGAATTAAGAGAATCGTGTAAATAGCCGGTGTTTTGTTGTACGGGATTTTGAACCGGTGTCGCATGAAATGCAAAAAAAAAGTACACAAAATAATAACGGAAATGCTTGTCATTTATTGTTGTTGTTTTTGAGTTGGAAAGAATACGTTGAGAATGTGGGTGTGAACAGCTCAAGCAGACTACGTTCTTTGCCTTTTCCTTTTTTCGATCTCTTATATTGAGCCCTAGTTCAGCTAAGAGTTCTAAAAACAATTGACCATGGTCATCATTCACGTACTGTCTATATTTTTAAACGCATCCATCTGCGTGCCCCTCACCTACGTCCAAACCAAGGTTAATTCTTGTATTACTCAGTTATAGATCGTTCTGTCAAAACTACGCTGTAATCTAACAATACTACGCGCAAAAAATACATATTAAAAAATAGTCTATTAATAGCAAACTATGTAAGTACTGAGAAATATTTACAGGAATAAGCATTCTTAGTCTTTCACGAACTATATTTATACCCATCACCGAAAGATGTGGTTTATATTCATCTTGTCCAAACGTTGGCAACGCCCAGAAGGCAGCGTTGGAGACCTCCACAAAGATGCTGATCAAGAATCAAGTTCGTTGAGAATTGGGAAGTATGTCCGGGTAATGCGTGCTGTAAACATTTGAAAATGGGCTAAAACGGTCAAAGGATACGCCCAACTGAACTAAGAAACCCTATGTTTTTCACAAGGAATAAGAAATTGGTTTTTTGCTCATTACTCATAAACTATAGCAGATAAATGTACTAAAATTTAAACGAATATTCTATAACCGATTCTTTAGTGTTTGTAAAAAAAATGAATTGACCATGCCTACATAATATAATAACATATTTACGTTTTTTTTTTTTTTTTAATACCTTTATAATGTGCAGAAACAACCTCTATAGAATATATAAATTCTTGGCCAGTTTCAAATTGGGAATATAACTAAACAAGTCCGTCTGGCCAACTGTGTGGTATCTGTGCTCACACACTCCTATTAACAAAATGAAGATACCGCCTACAAATGTGCAAAAGAAATTGGAAGTGATCTAAACAACGCGCCTCCAACCGCTAAACGCTTATATGACACAAATCTTTACTTTGAAAATAGGCAGAATCAGCCGCGCCCACTCCATATTATAGAGCATAGTTTTTTATCCTTTTTTTTTTTGATAACAGTGATTGGTATAGAAGACTCGGTCACAACCGAATATAATTCTCTTACTTGTTACGATTGCTGCAGGTACTTGTGTACGCAATGGTACCCAATACCGTACTAGCGGTGCGGTAAAGCGTTCGGAGGAACCAAATAATTTCTTTTATGATTTTAAAGCTATGGACAAAATCAAAACCAGAAATTCAGAAATGAATAATAAATATAAAATAAACAGTGTTCGCCCTTAATGTTTTAAGAAAATGGATTTGTTTTTTATTTAACTCTACAATGAATAAAGTATTTGAAATTCGTTCCGAACCTGGAACAACTTTCACATTTATTATCATATTGTCTCGAATACTGTTACCTATCAGAGAGTTGATATTTTCTAGTGGTATGTGAGAGACTTGATACACACATGTGCTTTTTCAAAGGTATGCCGTATAATATTGAAATAACAGCAACAGCGAGCGACCTTGATAAGAGTTATTTTTCAACCTTGAAAATTATTTGCATGTGAGTGTGCCTTCGTGCAAGTAAGTGTGGCGTACATGTGTGAAAAGAATGCAATAATTTTTAATCAAAATGAAATTTATATGGTAAACATAAAAATTTCTTTTCAACACAATTTAACGCACATTTGCATATAGGACCGGCGATTAATATTTTGGTCCCTTATTTAAAAAGGTGTCTTAAAAAAGTTTATATTCCTATTTAAGTGATTAACTACGCAAATTATATTTACCATTTATATGCGAATCTGAGAATCTGCGACACGAACGCTTTGCAACTAAGAACCGGGAGGAACCATTTTCACAAAAATCATGTATTATACATGCCCTAGACAACATTATATTTTATTTTGATCACTCAGCTCGTTAATGATCTTCTAATGGGTTGTATACTTTCGATTAAATATTTTGTAATTTGGCTTTGCTCTCTCTCTCTTTCTCTCTCTCTCTTACGGTTATATTATGCTTTCTCAACTTTTTATAAGAAATGGGTTACGCGAACGCCATAATCTGATTTATAAAGATTGTTTATACAGAATGTGCTAATTATTAGAATTTCAAGTTGAATTTTGGCGACTTTAGAAGCACTAAGCAGAGACGGCCGAACGAAAACTCCCAACTTGGTCCAAAAATTCTACCTTGTATGCTTTAGGTGTTTTATAAAGGCTATGATTAAAACTAAGCATATCATGGTGAGTACAATAAATAGCAATCACAATAACAATATAATTTTTGCGTTAACGGAAGTTTTTGATATTGATTAGAGATTTTTATAACCAATTGTGATAACTGAACTTAATTAGCACTAACAACAGGCATTTCAATTACAATCGGTATATAATTGGTTTCTTAAATCGAATTCTTAGACGTGATTATGGACGGAAGATGCGATCGCCATTTCAGTTGCGAAAATATATATATAGTTCAGGCAAAAGAACTTTTTTTATAAATATATTTATGAAATATCTAAAACTTTCGAAAGTTACGAAGAAATGATGATTAATACATATAATTTAATTTTTGAAGGGATAACGTAAGCTATCAAAGAACAAAACCGATATACGAAATTAAACTGGCAACACTTTTAAATCTTATCGATATTAAATTTAGCGGAGTTTTTAAGATTGTTAAAGACTTGATCTTAAAACCTATTAAATTTTTAGGCCTTCAAGTTAAATTCCAGTTCTTTGGTAAAATCAAAAAAAAAACGTGAGTTTTTTTTCACATATTTTTTCGGCTGGATTTCGCTATTAAAACATCTGAATCTATTGAGATACGTAATGTACTTGAATGTCCTTTTAAGTGTCAAATGGTGGTGTTCGTATTGACAAGAACTTCTGGTTACAATAAACGTAGTTTTATTATCTGTTAGTTTTATTTAAAAAAGAGCAAACATAACATATGTATGTACATTCGCATGTATGCATATAAGTATATTTGTGTGTACTCTACGAGACTGATTAGTAGTTTTTTGTTATTGAGAATTTCATAAACATTTGCATGTAGATGTAGGCACCACCGTCTAACACATGCATGTATACGTTTTTTTCTATTTCATCGGTATGGGATAGCCTAGCATTTATTATAATAATGACCTTGGATTAACTGCAAAAAAAAAAAAAAATAATAATAATAACGAGGAAGTCAACTACATAATAATAACAAATACGAAACTGAGCGAGCGAATTGATCGAATAGTTTGCATTTATTTCTCTTTGATGCGCACAGCCATATTAACAATAAATGTAAATATTTAATAATAATTTTAAAATTGTCATTAACTATAAATATTATATAAACAAAACAATAACTTGTACATGTATACGCATGGATATATGTACATAGTTGTACATGTATGTCCCACTACCTGAATGCATGCAATCACGTATCTATGTGTAAACCTGGACCCATGTGCGACGTTCATTTAGCTATGATAGGTATAGGTATAATACGCATACATTACGTACACATGTACACCCTAGCACCCATATGAACGATAAGCTATACAGAGCATAATAGAGATATATTTGTTAAGGAAAAACCTTGGCGGCTATACCCAATATACGGTCTACAATATAATGGTCTAATATGAACATATTTCCTTTATATATACGTCTGTGTATGTGTATATATATATATATATATATATATATATATATGTCTAAATTGGTTTTGTTGTTATTATTATTATTATTTATTAACAATAATTAGTTTTGCAATGAAATTTTTGCATTGAAGACCTGAACTCTAATTTCCTGATGTTTAGAGACCTTAAAAATTTATACGAACATGTGCTAAAAAAGCAAAAGTTCGACATAAAAACAGACTAACTGTCTTTAGCAGATATCTTGAGTGCTAATATCAACCTTGTTAAAAACTTTTTTTAAATTAAATTGAAAAATATATATTTATAAAAAAACGTATATTTTCTTATATACATACATATGATTGTGTGTCTAAGAATTATATATTTTCGCTATATGAATAAAATCGTTTTTCAATACTTTGAATGAAATCAATACTCAATTTAAACTTGACTAATTGAAACATTTTTAATGCTTCTTCTTTGAATATATATGAGCGAACATTTTTTTAAGCGAACATTCTTTAAATAAATGACATGAGGAAGCGAGCAGCATTCACTTTGGGACGAATTTTAGCAGCATTTTGAGTAAATATATAAAAGCCTTGTATTAATAGTGAGAGCCGTAGCTTTTATTTTTTTCCAAAGTTGTCTTAGTTCCTGCGCTATCGCGAGCTTGTTTGCAAGTAGATCTCAAGTGAATTTTAGAAGGGAATTACTGATACAATTAAACAGTTTCAACAGACCGAAGGGTGAAGGAAACAAAGCGGGAACATAATATCTGATAAATCGCTTAAAATCATTACTTACTCTTTATCAGAATTGCTTGGAGAGCCGTTATAAGATATTGGTAGAAAACTTACCAGCAATGTGGGCATTGAGTAGGAGGGGCATTCACGTGCCCGTTGACGCATAGCGGCCACCTTTTCCTTGGTAAACTCACAGGTCTCTAAATGAGCTCTTAGTACTGCTGACAGTAAACGTGGCTGATCGTCAAGCTCGGAAGCTAAAGCCCTCTGTTGACCACGATTTTGTGTTGATTGCTGCATAGCGGCCAAAATGCGGGCCTTCTCACGTTTCGGCACACGACCAAATCGAACAGCTAAATTGATATTGTAGATGAGAAGCAAAAAAATATAAATTTAATACGTTAAAAACAATTATTCTTATTTAAGAAAAAAATAATCATAGAAAGGGCAGGTGGTACATTGTTAATGTATTTAAACATCTGCTATATATTTGTAAAAAAACGTACAAACGCTTAAAAGTCCTTACAGGAAGTTTCACTTTTCATTGTAAATACATTAATATAAGTGTAGTTACTTTTTCTCTGCTTCTCTTTCGCTCTTTTTCTTTATCTTTTCCCCTCTTTTATACGGTAACATTTTGTAAAATCTTTGACATAGCATACGTATCTATATATAAAAATGCTATGTATGAGACCGTGCAAGAAATATATTGCAAGTACATAACGAAACATAAATGCGCGCGAGGCCCTTTAAGTAGGTCATTGCCTTCTCTTATTTTATTAATGACAGACCGACTGGCTTGACTTGGATCGCCGACTGGTTGGATGGCTGGCTAGTTGGCTGACTGACTAGTAATTCGCTTTTATTTTAATTTTTGAAATGTGTAAAAGAAAGCACACACATGAACTACAGCAGCTGCCATTGTTTTAGCATAAAACGAATATGTTACACTTTCTCCTTTTTACTATTTTTTCATATGCATGCATAAAAAACCAAAATACAAACGAGAGAAAACTATAAACCAATGTTTGAAGCGAATTTTAAATAACAGCCAATGTACCGGACCAAGCGCGTAGAGTTGCCTCATCTTAGACAGAAAGAAGAACATTTTAATTATCTTAAGTGCCGTTAATCCCCCACCTTAGAAATTAGAGTTTATACTATTGTTTCGTATAGTGTGCGGCAAAGGGGATGGATCCTCTAAGTGAAGTGGTACGCATACCGGTAATAACTACATCAAATACACGCGCGTGTACGTAAAAAGACGTTTCAGTTTCTTTATATTACGAATTAGTGAGAAGGTTTAATGCTAATCCCTAGACTACCGTTAATATCACTTATTGAGTCATCGGTTATATTTATATAAATGTAAGTAAATTTTCTTCTATTTATTAGAGTAAAAAAAGTTTTGTCGTTTTTTTTTAAATTTGCTTTTGTCAGAAAAAAACGAAGAAAACAAAGTAAGACATATCTTATCCGTTTTGCAGCGACAGTTGTTGTGTCGCATTTCCGCCAGCATTTGGTACTTTAATATTGCATTCATAGATTTCTTTTCTCCTAATCAACCAATTTAGGTGTGTTGTCTGACTACAAAATATTGCCGTTCAAATGCAGAAAAATTGTTATTAATGAAAAGTTTTCCGATTTTAGTGCAAGTGTGCGCAGAAATTAAAAGTATTTAGGTTAAAAAGAAAGTAAACGTTTTAAACGGTACGAGCGCAACTAATATGCTGATCATGCGGACTTTATAGGAGAGAGCGATAAATATAGAATAAGAAGCAGAGAGCTGCGGAGGATGCGATTCAGGAAAGTGTAAATGAAATTAAACATAAAGTTTAAACTTATTTATTTCTTTCGTTATTTGATTTTTATTTTGGTTTTTTATGCTTAATTACTACCCAAATTTATTGTTATGTCCATTTTTTTTCTAGTCTGCTATACCTACGGGTTTTTAAAAAAATTGTTTTATTTTTGTTATTTTTTTTTAAATTTCTATTCATAAAAAAGCAAAGAAATTGAATGATCAGAGCAAAAGTGAAATACTATATACTATAACAAATCGTGCAAAATTTACAAACACACGCACACAAACTTGTTTCATGCCTTTCAAAAACAAGCACATCTATTAGAAGCAACAAATATTATTCCATAGCGTATACAGTAAATATTATATGCAGAGAAAGATCTCTCGCTCTCCCTTTGACTTGTGTATGCGCGATACATATGTATGTGCTTTAGTGTGCTGTGTTAGTAAGACTTTCTTATTAAGTTGCTTCGTAGTCAGTCGTACTAGTGGCACACATTTCAGCAAAAGCCGGCTTTTTTTGGTGTAAGCAGGTCAAACGAAAATGAAACTTTTATTTTTTGTGTGTGTATGTGTGTGCATTGATACTTCAACAAAAACAATAATAACAACGTGTGTAAGTAGAGAAAATTGGAGCGTGTTTTATACCCCAACACCTGTACGTGTTGGTATGCTAAAATAATTATCCTATTTGCAACACTCATAAATACGCTTGTGGTTACCCTTTAACAAATATAAATATTGCATATAACATGCGACTGTCTCCAAGTGCTTATAGTATGATGGTATTGATATAATATTGATATTTATCATAAAACATTTTCTAAATTTTTCAAGTTTCTTTTTATGTATATTTTTATCGCCTCCCTGACACATTCTTTAATATAAAATTGATCAGATACGCTCTCAAGAGCAATTTTGAAAAATGCTGCTACTTTAAATTACATTCACAACGTTAAACCTTCTAAGTTATAGATCAGACGTTGACAACATCTTTTGAAGCCCGGTTACAATCAAAACGAATCAAAATGTGCTTATCACAAAAACGTTTGGTGTCGGATTTCATTTAAAAATAATCTTTTATGGTGAACAATAAGATCAATTTTATTGAGAAAATAACTACATCTGGTGAATATTTTTTCGGCACTCAAGTGGGCGAACCAAACTTATGAAATCAATCAATCACTCGCTGATTCTCGAGTCATAGCATGGCCTGCCAAAACTGATAATAAATTTGAAAAAGTTTTTTTTTTTCAGTTTAGGGATTTTTACTTCACATCTCGATGTTCGGCGTCAAATGGACTGAGCTCCCGTTGAGGCGTGTTAGAGATTCGTTGCAAAATAACGTAAAACGCTTCTTTCTACTTTTGCTTTTTCATGCAAGCATTTCGAGATAGTACCACACGACTTAAGAAACGCAAAATAAACCTAATATTCACATACATGCATATGTGCATTTGACGGCTAACAACTTTCAAAGTTTAACTTTATGGGGAAAATGTTGGCCAATCTGTGCGGATAATAATAATAACCATACTAAAAAGAATATTTTTTTAATGTTAGCGATTTTTACACATTTATAGAAAAAGAAAGAGAGACGACGAAAGAGAGAGTAAAATTACCGTGAATGTGTGAAGCGAGAACGAAATTCTAGATAAGAAGTTTTCATTAAGCCTTTGGAACTCAAGGGATAGCATCATAAAAGGAGAGACGCGACTAAGGAAAACGAAATTTCTACAGGCAATAAGTTTGAATTTTCAAGCAGAAAGAGAGCCAATGCTACTTAGTCCTAATAAACCTATACGATACACATAATATATTGCTCTCCTGAAGGTTTAATATTTTTCGGCTTATTAAGGTATCCGCTTTGAGCGACATAAGCAGCATTATGGTATCGGTTCAAATTGTTTACTTTGATCTGAATTGATTGAAAACTTACGTGCATTGTGGTAGTTAACGTTGCCTTTTAATATACTCTTTAGTATTGGTAGTTCTTCAGACATTTTGGGTTTTTTGCTTTTTTTTATTAAATTTTAATTATTTTACGTACAAATTTTTTGACAAATTGTTTAAAAAATTAAAAAAATTTTTTCTTTTTGATAATTGTGTAGATATATATAAGTAAATATATACATGTATATATACGATATTTATATTTTAATATATATACTTGTAATTTCTTTTTGGTTTGGCACATAAGTATTTAAGATAAATGTTTTTTAATTTAACTTTTTTTTCATTGAATCCCAGGTACTTTGATCATTCTTGGTATCTTTCGTATTCTCTTGTTTTTTATTTTCTATTAATTTTTTTATTTTTATAGTTACTCATAAAATTTTTTTTAAGTTAAATTTTGTGGTTTTTATAGTTGTGTACTAACAACAGGAACTTCAAATTGCATTTATAGATAGTAAAAAAATCACTTCAGATCTTCTTGATTTCCACCTTTTTTTTTATTTGGTTTAATTAGAAAAAGTGTTTCTTAAAGAACGTACTGTCCTCTGGTCAATGATTAAATTTTTCTTTACTGTATATTTATTAATATAGTTTGTTACTTCATTGTTAAGTTTGTACAAAAAAATTGTTAAGTTTGCCGTGTTATCTTCACACATTAAATTGACAAAATCTTTGTTTCCAATTGATTTTTTAGTTAAAGTTCCTCTTATTCAAGTTTAGCTATGACTGACGTATTAAAATCAATTTTTTTTTCTTTTAAATTTTTAAACTTTGAACGTATTTAGTGTCACCCGTTAATAATTTTATATAATTTTTATTACAAATTATTAGTAGTGACTATTGAATTATACATAATTTTTTTCTTTTTAATTTTGTCAAATTTACGCATATGACAAAACTCCGACAAGGTCCGAAAGCGACTAACTGTAAATATCACGAGCACATTACGAATATACTCAAAAACGTAGCAGTTGTGTATAGAAAATCAAGGCAGACTGACAAAATAGAAAATATACAAAAACATTGGACATATGGAGACGCTAAAGAACAAAAAGAAAGACAAATAATGAAATTTACACACACGCACACAACACCACGCTTTCCTATAAAAACGGGAAATCAAAGACTCACTAAATGTAAAAATGAGCAGGTAATGTCCCGACAATATATTAAGAGAGAATAAGAAGCGATTTCTCGAAGAGATTTATTCATTAGAAACATTTAAGAGTCGAAATGTAGAGAAAACACCACATGAAAGAAACCCCTCCCCCCACCGAAAAAAAGAGAGAAAGATGAGAGAATAAAGGTTGAAAATGATTTAGTAAGAGGTTTTAAAAGCCCGAGACTTTTATTCAAATATAATTAAATGCAACGCAATAAAGCTAAAACAATGTAAACTTAAAGGGAAATGTAATTAGATGAAATTGTTGATAGATTAAAGCAAAAAACGAATTTAGAAAATTGTAAGTATTTTGGTATATACCTTGTTATAAACTTAAACCCATCAAGAACTTATTGGATTTGCTTACTTTTTTAGATACCCCAAGCAATGAATTGAAACTAAGTCCTGCTGCTCGTTCTACTATAACAAAT